AAAAAAAACATTTTAATTTTTTGGTAAAATGTGATTTTATTACCAAAATTACCGAAATTTTCGCAAAACAACTCTTTTGGTTAAGACTACTACTAATCAAGGTTTTTAAAATCGGATCAGTTATTGAACCGTTTTTGGTTTGGTTTTTGGTTTGATCGGTTGAATCGGTGAACCGATTGGTCCAAATAACAAGGGAAATCTGATGAGAAGGGCAAGTAATTTTGTAATTTTATTAAAATTAAGGGTTAAAATCGGTATAAGAAAGGAATGATGATGGTGAAATTGGAAAAAATAGAAAGAAAATTGCATGAGAAATTGAACCGGTGGTTTTTTTGGTTCTATCGATTCTACTGGTTTCACCAATTTTGATCGGTTTTGACCTCAAACGGTTTTTTGTGTAAACCAAACCATTTTCATTACCGGATATCGATTCGACCGATTCAACCAGTCGATCCAGTCTGATTTTAAAAACCTTGTTACTAATGTTAGTATAAAGAATGAAACAACTCATAAATTATTGTATGTTCAAACCTTAGCTGTACCTAAAATTTTTAATCCCCACTGAGCTGCAATTCTCCTTGACATGAAAGAAGACCTTTCCTTTGCGGAACCTAGTACTTTGTCTTAGACATCCATCTGAATCATATCACTTTTTTTATTGTTTAGTAAGCAAAGCAATTAAAAACTTTTTAATTGTTTCTATAAAAACTGAGAGTTTATTCTTAAAATGCAGAGTTTTCCAAAATGTTAAATACATAAAATTTTTTGGTTAAATGCTGCCATCGTTCATGCTGACTAGGAATTAAAAGTCTGATGACTTCTATCATAGGGACCAATAACGATTATGGAGAAAAGTAATAGGACCTATTTGCACATGCATAAAAGTTAGAGGACTTGAATTAACAAAATTTCTTAAGTATGGCAAAACATTAACTTAAGAGAAAAAGTGCAAATAAAAATGTTGACTTTTCACTTTTTTTATTTAAAAAGGTTAATTTTGTTAATTTTTAAATAAAAATGTAAACTTTAAAATTTTTTTATTTAAAGATGTTAATCTTCAATTTTTTTTTCTATTGACTTATTTTCTAAAAAGGTTTCAAACATAAGAAAATGAAGAAAATATTTTTCAATAATTTTTTTTTTTGTAAACCAAACACACCCTAATTGTCGATTCTTCCCATAAACCAAACATACAATTTGTCTGCTAGAGCAAACAATAGTTTGTAAAAACATATTATAATAATTAATTAGTTAACTACTTAAGTTCCTCATTAATAATATCATTTTTCTTTATAAGCTGTACTAGTAATATGATTCCTAAAAGAAGTAAAAGTTTCTGAGGTCAAGTTGTATAATATGCATTTAATTATCTTCAACAATAAAATTAGAGGAGAGATCTACTAACACACAAGTTTTGCACATTACACTTACACAAAGTCTAAACTATTTTATCTCTTTACTTTTAAGAATTGATATTTATCATAATATTTTTATAAAAAAGATTTAATAAATATGAATAAATTTTAACCATTAAAAGTAAATACATGAATGATTGAAATTATTTAAATGTTTGAGATTTTGTGTAAGTGAGTCTCTATTATTAATATCAGTTTTTACATTATTATATATGTATTTATAATAAAAATTTTCTCTTAACAGATGCTTTCAAGACACATGTTAGGAAAACCTTTTTATAAATTTTGCAACTCTAAACAATAAAATCATTTAGTTTTATGTGTTTTTGTAATATATTATTATGATTATTATAGAAATAAGGAAGAAAATAATTTTAATACTATTAAAAAAATCCATATTTTTAGGTTATATTTAGTATAATTGTGGTTTTGAGTTTTTGGTTTTAATTTTTATAAATTTTGTTTTTTTAACAGCAATTTTTATAAATTTTGTAATTCTAAACAAGAAAATTTGTTTACTTTTCCATGCTTTTTGTAACATATTATATATCATGATTATTAGAGAAATAAAAATAAAAATTGTTTAATACTATTAAGAAAATTTATATTTGTACTTGTCAATGTTAAAATTTATTTTAAACAAAATTTTAATTTTTAGTTTTTAGTTTTGATTTTTAATAGTTATAAAATTTATAAAAACCAAAATTAAAACCAAAAACTCAAAACCACAATATACTAAACAGATTTTATAAATTAATTAAGTTTGAAGTTTTGTGTATTTCTTTTAAAATTTTATACCTAATAAGTTGACAATTTTAATTTTAAATTTTAGTTTTGATTATTAATTTTAATTATTTGAATTTAAAAAACCAAAGCCAAAATCAAAAATTCAAAATCACAACCATATTAAACAGAATCTTAGTTATTGATATTAAACAAATTATTAGTTTCTGATTTTCAATTTTAATTTTTCAATAGTTGCAAAATTTATGAAAACTAAAATTAAAAATTAAAAACCACAATCATATTAAATAGAGTCTTAGGCTTCATCTAAATGGTTTTGGTTTTTATTTTTTGTTTTTATATATTTAATAACTAATGTTATACTTAAATTTTTCATAAAAATAATATATATAAATTAAATTAATAAATTTTAGAAAATTTAAACGCCAAGTTGGTAGTTCGATTGTGATTTATACTAAAAAAAAAATTGAAGTCTAGTTGTCTACGATTAGAAATCCATAATAACCCCTTAAAAATATTTCAAAATATAGCTGGTTACCTGTACATTAATTGTATATTGTTAAAATTATTGTTTCGGTAGCAGATTTATAATTTGTCAATCAAGTACATAATTAACAGAATCAAATAAACAATACACAAGTTGGTTTGCTAAGATAATTATTCTTTTTCTCTTAAAATAATTATTTTTGAACTAAAGATTTAATAACAATTTATGTATTTAATTATTCTTAAAAAAACTAAAACATAAAAGAATAATTTTTTTGATATAATAATTAATTAAAATAAATAGATAATGATGAAATTAAAGTAAATAAATAATATTTATCTATTCTTAAAAATAAAAAATAATAATTAATTTAAAATAAGTTTAAAATAAAAAAAAATATCAGTATCTTGGGATGGAAAAAATATAATAATGAAATAATCGATCATATTTTTTATAATTAAATCAAACAAATCCTTAATTAAATAATAATATATTTGATGACTGTAATTACTAATTAGCAACAACTCCCATCACTTAAATGCTAATTAAAAAATTCCATGCCTTTATGGGTCTGGATCTATGATGCCACCTACATTAAACAAATTAAAAATAACAAAAAAAAAATCAAAATTATAAAGTTCACCACTAATGTTTAAATTCTTTTTAATTACATCCAGACTTCAATTAATATTTGAAAATTTTTTTTGCCTGGTTTTAATATTTTAATTAATTAATTGTATTTGTGTATTGTGTATGCTTATAAAGAGAGGAAATAGAACAAACATGCTTACCTGTCCAGAAATTTAGCGGCCAACGTTAGTAACTTTATATTTTTGGGTTGTGAAATAAGAACAATTTTTTAATATTATTTTTTAATATAATTTTTACGTATTATTAAATGAATAAATACACTAAATGTCACTGGATTGTAAATGAATAAAAAAATTAATTATTTAAATAACACATAAAATTATACAAAAAAAGTATAAAAAAATTATCTCAAAATCATCTTCTTATATTTTTATGCATGTTCCATGTTGTTCTTCCCTAATTATATCACACATATTCTCTAAGTACGGTAATTTCTTATTGCTTCGACGATCGATTTCCATTCCACCTTTGCTTTTCTAACTTTGTAAACCATATCATCCCATCTAATACTACCCTAATAATTAAAAATATATTACAGTTTTTTTAATATAAATATATATTGATCTTGTTTTTTTTTTAATATTTTAAATAAAGATAAGATCACAAATTAAGATTTTCATAGGTTTTAGGCTTAAATCATTAATAAAGAGTTCGATATTTCTAATGATTTATTGGTTCAAGTAAAAGAGTTCAATTCTCTTTAAGATTTTAAGTTTGAATTCTATAAATGAAAAAATAAGTGTTATGAAAGTTTTTCGTTATAAATTTTATATGACT